CATTCACTCAATGCTGCTTCTTACCCCCCTGGATAGGTAAGGAAACCAGGGTGCAGAGATGTTATGTGGCCTGGACATGGTCATCTAACCAGCAGCCGTAGACAGGGAGGGCCGAGAAGAGTTCCGAGGTGTTTCCACCAGCTCAGAGAGGGAGGAAATTGAACAAAATAAGACAGGGAGCCAGCCCACGCCAGCTGGGGACGGGTAGCCATCAGTGATGCACCCCCAGCCACATTCTGCCCAGTGATCAAATGTTCCAAATTCCCAGGTGGTCTCCCATGCCAGGACTTAAGGCTGACCCTTCTTCTTAAACCTCACGGAGGTCGTCAGGGAGGCATGTGCAGAGCTGTGCCCAGCCCCGGGCCCCCTGCCCAGCTAGTCGAGTTGAGCCCTGCTGACCTATATTGTACTCCTAGCTCCATCCAATCTGGCCATATAGCCTTCCTCCTGCACGCTGATGTGTCTGGCACTCCTTCCCTTTTTCTTTTTTAATTTCTTTTAATGTTTGTTTATTTTTGAGAGACAGAGCACAAGCAGGGGAGGGGCAGACACACACACACACACACACAAACACACACACACACACACAGAATCCGAAGCAGGCTCCAGGCTCCGAGTTGTCAGCACAGAGCCGGACGCAGGGCTTGAACCCACGGACCATGAGATCATGACCTGAGCTGAAGTTGGTTGCTTAAGCGACTGAGCCTCCCCCAGGCACCCCTCTCTTTCCCTTATCAGACATCAACATGGGCTGTTGTCCAGGAAACTAGATCCTTTCCATGGGGCTCAGCAAAGATGCCCTTCCTCCTGAGTGGGCCGTGGCATCTGCCCTCCCCATCACCCACTCTATCCACCTTGTCAACAGGTGTGTCCAGCATACTATGGGCGGGGCTTAGAGCACCGCGACAGTCAGCCTTCACGTTGGCCGTCACACTGCAGCCAGGTCAGAGGGGGACAGCAGAGGCAGACCAAAACAGGTGTGTAAGCCCCTGACCAAACAACCGTAGGCTCTGATACATGCAGAAAGGAGTCATAGTCGGGCTGGACATGGACAGGACTGGCTCTCTGCTTGTGGCTGGGGCGCTTTGTCTGTCACAAGGAAGGCCTGCTTCCTGCAGATGGGCCTGCGTGGGGGCAGGCCGGGCGGTGGGAGGAGCTTGCCAGAGCCGGGGCCTGCCCCCAGCTCTATCTGCACACCTTGTGGTTGCCTGGACTTGGAGCGCAGCCTACGATGGGGGTGGGTAGCTGTGACCAGGCCATGCAGGGCCCTGAGCACTTGGTAAGGAACATGGATTTGCTTGAACGCAGTGGGGGCTCCCATGGGTGTTCAAATGAAGCAGGGGACTGTAGTGACCTGGTTTATGTTCTTTTAGCAATTGTTCTCATTGCTGTGAACCATTTGGGGGAGGCCATTTTTGTCTTCCGGGCCAGAGGTGGAGGCAGCCCAGGCTGGAGCAGGGGCTGGTGGATGACACACAGTAGTCCCGCGTGGAAGCAGCAGCACAGGACCCTACGGTGGTTTCGGTGTCTGAGGGACTGGCGGGGAGGGGCACCCAGGGAGAGGACAGTGAGGATCTGGAGTTTCAGCCTGGACACACGTGTTGTAAGATAACAGCATGTTGTAAGATAGTGTGTGTTCTGGTTCAAGTGGAAACGAGAAATTGATGAGGCCCCAGGGTTTGGGTCCCCTGCAGTACCCCGGCTCACTCGCAGCCTGCTCCCCCTGCCCAGCTTACCTGTATGGAGATTGAGCACCATGCAGTGTGCAGAGCTGAGGGAGCCGGGAGAGGAAGCTGTGTGACCACCCCTCTGGTCCCCCCAGGGCTCACTGGCCCTGGGAACAGCCTGAGGCCCTCCCCACACACCGCCTGCAGCAGCGCTTCCTCCTGAAGCTGGAGCATGATCCGAGGCGCTCACAGTCCTTCTCGCCTTGCTTGGGCGGGGAGGGGGGCGGGTCCAGGCCCCTGCACCTCAGTGCTTGCAGCCAGTCTTCTCTCTTGCACAGTCTGCTAAATGCAGGGCCTTTGCGGGAGATGTTCTCACTGCCTGAGATCCTCTGTAACCTCCCTGCCCCCACCCCTTTGCAGCTGCCAGTCTTTAGAGCCATCTCACCTGGCTCTTCCACCCCCTCTCCCCAGGATCTGAACTCAGCGTCCCTCCTGTGAGCACTGGCCTCTCCCCAGCCTGACATCACTGGATCACTGTCTGCTCCCTGCCCTTATCCCTGCACCGAGAACTCCTGGGGAGAGCGCATTGGGTCTTACTCCTTTCTATTCCCAGGATCAATAAGACACTCACGAGTGTTCTCTCAATAAGCGATTCCGCTAACTGCCCTTGCGTTGCAATCCACCCCCTGAACAGGACATGTGCTTTTGCAGATGCTGCTCCTGGAAAGAGGGGGTTGGTTTCTACCTTGGGGGAGTGGGGGAATCTCTTTGGGGGATCTGAGCATCACTGAACTGTTCTTGATGCTACGCTGTGGGCCTGCTGTGGCATGCTGGGATTGAGGGAGCAGGCGACCCCTGGGGGCCGAGGGAGCCAGCTGGGCAATGGTGGATGGGCTTGGAGAGTGACATGGTGGGGTGTAGAGGGGAGAGAAGGGAGGCGATGGTATGAGTCTCTAGCCTGGCAATGCATCCTCAACACGCAGAGCCCCATCCCTGCTCTGCAGACATGAAGGTAAACCCAGGTACACTTGCTCTTCCTGCTGCAGCTCCTTCCTACCACCCGCCCCCATCCCCACCCCCAATTCCATACTCCCTTGGCATTTTTCTCCCTTCAGAAGTCTTTCTGGCTGTGCACTGTAACCCTGCCTTGCCCGCTGTGAAATGTGTGCATGCCGGATGTAGATGGAGCTTGCGGGGTTTGGAGGCCGCACACCTGCTTAAGCTGTGTGTATGCACTGTGTATCAGACAGCCACATTCCTCTTGTCCACTCGCGAGAGCAGAAGTGGCGTGTCCCTGATGACAGCAGGCAAAGGTGCTCTCAGACCGGCTCTGGGCCAGGTGGGAAGAAGGTTGCCCCAAGTATAAGGCACGTACGAGTGAGTGACCTTGGGTGGGATCCCGGTACTTCCGGCCTTCTACTTCCGTACCTGCAGAAAGGGGTGATACTTCACAAGGATGCTGTGAGGATCACGTGGGGTAATATCTGGAAAAGCTCCTGTGAATGAGGCAAATGTAAGAGAGTCTTGTCTTGGCGGGCAGTGCTGCCCACCCCCAGGGCCATATTATTAAATAGGTTGGTGTGGTGATACGGGTTGAATCTACTGAATCGCGCTTTCTGCCTTCCGCTTTTCCCCCATTCCTTCCCAGTCTGTGCCTGCACTTTTGCATACGAAGAATCAGAACAGCTCAAACAGGCCGCAGGGGATGCCTGTAAATCCAAACTGAACAGATACGAGGGAGCCTGCAACTTGCAGGTTTCTTCATTAAACAGTTGGCCAGGTCCAAGTCTGCTGTGAGAATCCATTTTGAAATAGCCTGGGAGGCAAAATTACTTGAAAGATAACTTTTGGAAGCGAAAATGTCATTCTGCTGACTCAGCATGATGTAGCAATTAAAATGCTGGTTTTCCTCCTCTTTGAGCGCTATCCCTGAATAATTTATGGCCTCACCCACCGGAGGCTGCAAGGCTTCGCTGAAATAAAATGATTTCCACTAAGAGCATGTGTGGGGCTGTGGGCCGCAGGCCGTGCTTGCTCACCAGGGCCCCTCAGCCAGGGCCGCCGCCTCCGAAAGCAGCTAGGCGCCAGCGGCACCGGGACCGCCTGGTGCCCTTCCAAAACCTGGTTGGTGACAGTGAATATGATGGTCACTTCACTCTCTAGGCTTCAGTTTTCTCTTCTGTAAAATGAGGGCAATGAGAGCATTCGAAAGCCCGGAGCCCAAGGCAGTGGATTTCTGCTGATCACATCTCAGTAAAGGTTTCCAAGTTTTCGTAAAATCCTTGCAAAGCAGGTGTTCCGCTTTCCACGTGGGAAAGAGGAAATTTATCTAAGACTGTGCATTTAGCTAGAAGTAAATTCAGGGTTTCACCTCCCCAATCGATCTGATCTGAAACCTGGGCTGTCAGGTGTACATTGCCAGGCTTATTTTGCTGTGGAAAAAACTTGTTTTTCAGAGACTGCCTAGATCAGTAGTAGAGAAAGGTTGGGGGTGGTGGTGGTTAAAAATCTGAAGCACGTGCATGGCTTTGATTAGAAATTGCAAAGCCGGTCTCCTCAAGGGGTACCTGGCTGGCCCGGTTGGTACAGGTGTGACCCTCCGGTTGTGAGTTCAAGCCCCGAAGTTGGGTGTAGAGATTACTTTAAAAAAAAAATTTTTTTTTTTAATAAAAAAAGCTGGTCTACAAACCTCTTCATCCTGTTAGCCTGGCTTAAGACACTATATATGGGACTGAAAGCCATATCTCTTAAGGGTGGATGTGTGTGTGTTTATGTATTTCAAAAGGTTGTCCCTGCATTAGTCAGAAATGTGAGCTTTTTATTACATTGGTGAAATTACCTAAACAAGCCCCTTTAGATTCATTCACCAGTAAATTCCAAATCGCCACGTGGAGAATACCAGGAAATAAACATTGCAGTCTCTCCCGGGTGGAAATTTTCAGGGCCCGAGGGGTGAAAGCATTCTTACTTACAGAAGTCAACTTACCAGAAAGCGAAAGCCAGAAAGTCACAGTGAAGCCGCTGTGTTAGGTTCAGCGTGTCCTTGCGTGCGTCTCCTCCCTCCGCTGCGTCCCTGTGTCTGAATTTGCTGGACAGGGAAGAAAGGCGGGGCCGGGATGCCCGGTGGAGGGAGGGCCTGCAGGTGCAGGGTCCGGGCTGCAGGGGGCGCGCGTGCCGCCGTCCAGGGTGGGGGACGGACGCTCCGTGGTGGGGGAGGCGGGGGCGCGCAGGCCAGCCAGCTGCTCAGCAGAAGGGGGCGGGGGAAGGGTGCACCCCGCGGAGCCCCCTGCGGTGGTGGTCGCAGCCGTGAACCCCCGGCCTGCTGTGTTTTAGGTCCAACCCGAAAGATGCCCCCCAGCGCAAGTGCCATGGACTTCTTCCAGCTCTTTGTCCCCGACAACGTGCTCAAGAACATGGTGGTGCAGACGAACATGTACGCCAAGAAGTTCCAGGAGCGCTTCGGCAGCGACGGCGCCTGGGCCGAGGTGACGCTGACGGAGATGAAGGCGTTCCTGGGCTACATGATCTCCACCAGCATCTCCCACTGCGAGTCGGTCCTCAGCATCTGGAGCGGCGGCTTCTACAGCAACAGGAGCCTCGCCCTGGTCATGAGCCAGGCCCGCTTCGAGAAGATCCTCAAGTACTTCCACGTGGTGGCCTTCCGCTCCAGCCAGACCACGCACGGCCTCTACAAGGTCCAGCCCTTCCTTGACTCCCTGCAGAACGGCTTCGACGCTGCCTTCAGGCCTTCCCAAACCCAGGTGAGGCCTGTGGGGGGTGCCCCAGGCTCTCCCCTATCCTGCCTCTCCGGCCCACCTCGGAGTGCAGGGGGTGATGGACTCACGGGCCCATGCCACAGAGACCTCAGAAAGCGGGCTTCTGCAGCTGCCTCCCCCTTTCCTCCCCCCTCTCTCCCCTAAATGGCATTTTCTTTCCAAATGATCTGCTTTCCAGGCCTGTAAGTTTCTTATATATACATGTTTAAGTTTATTCATTTCTTTTGCGAGAAAGAAAGCATGAGTTGGGGAAGAGCAGAGAGAGAGAGAGAGAGAGAGAGAGAGAGAGAGAGAGAATCCTAAGCAGGCTCCACACTGTCAGCACAGAGCCCCAGGCAGGGCTTGAGCCTGCCAACTGTGAGATCATGGCCCGAGCGGTAATTGGATGTTTAACACCTGAGCCACCTGAGTGCCCAATTTTCTTAGATTGAGAAGAACCTCTGATGGTAGCTTTCCCGTGTTTTCTGAGTATGTATGTACTCCTGGGCTGGTGGGAGGGGCTGAAGCCTTGTGGGTGACAGAGGGAAAGAAGCTAGATCTCAGCTGCCCTGCAGGTAACTGGGAGTTACTCGTCACTCAGGTCCAGGGGTGGGGAGATCCACCTGGCACGCTGTCACTGGCAGGGCCTTCGTACCAGAGTTCCATAGAGCCCCAGACCTAACTGTTAGGGCCCCTCCCCCAACACCTCCCCAACTTCCCTAACTGGTCCTAGAAGGCTCTGTGGGCCCTCGGCTCCTGAGTCGCTGCCTTCTGGTATTGACCTGTGGCAAGTACGCTTGGCTGTGGTGAGAGAGGGGTTCCAGAATCATCCCCCAAACTGCTCTGCTGCTCTCACAAACCAGCTTCTTTCCAAGATGCCTCTACCCAAAACTTTTGGAGATTTTTGGCCCACGTGAGTCCGGTTCCTTTTGGCCTGTTCAGTGCGGAAACTGAAGTTCACATCATTTTTATTCATGCGTTTAAATAGCCATCCATCTACCCACTCTTCCTCATGCCTTTCCTTTAAGGGCCTTCTTCGTAAACCTCAAATTCTTTTTGATATTTTTCTCTTTCCCTGACTCTGTATCTTGCCTTTTTTCTCTGCACAGCTGAAAATCACAGGACTTTTGTGGGGGAAGATCTCGCCCTATTTCAGGTCTGTGGGAGCCTTAAAACAATCTCTGGAAGCGCTTCCCCTGCTGTGCTGTGAATGTGCTGGGCTCATTATGATTTCCAGGTGTTTGCAGTGCTCTTTCTGGCGCCCAGAAAGCTTTTCCCTCTTCTCTCTGCCTTAGCCGACAAACGGAGTCTCCGGGGCCCAGTGCGGGGCCCGCAGGCCTGTGGCGGTTCCCCCTTCCCTGCATCTCCCTACTACTAATAGGGCAGCCACGGGCCATTCTTTCTTGTCTCCAGTTGTGTCTCTTACCTTCCAAATAGGAGGTGGGCTCTTCTGGGGACACAGGCCCCGCCTTCAGGCCCTGCAGGACCAAATAACAGGGCCAGGCACATTCGTTTTTGTTACCCTGAATATGTGCCTGGTTGAACATGAACCAAACCAGAGCCCTTCCGGCTGCGTGCAAGGGGTAGAATACAATATTCTGACCATCGTTGGGGCCAGACCTTTGAAGAGCCACTGGAGGAGGCTGCGGCCTGAGTAGCTCTAGAGAATATACCAACCAGCTGCTTGGATGATTGATATTTAACAGCCTAAAGATAAGGTTGCCGAGGATCCTTCTAGCCCCAGGACCAGGCCAGCCTTATCCAGGGTTATAGTCATGTGTGTTGTGTGTTGCCATGAGCCAGCCTCGTGCTGTCTCCCTTCTGAAACTGCAGTGTCCGATACCCTGAGACCTGTACCCAGGGCAGTTAGCATGTGTGCATGTGTCCCTGGAGCCCGGGGTAGCTTGTGGGGACGCTGGGGTGCCCAGCAGCCAGTGCTGAGATCACAGGCCTGTCCCTTCCTGGCCCGGCCCATTCCCAAGCCAATAGTATCTGGACTGCGGCTCGCGTGGGCAGCTCTTCCCTCCTCCCCCTGCATGGCTCAGGTGCGCAGCGAGGAGCCCAGGACCCCTGAGAGCCCGGAGTTGCCCTCATGTTCTCCTCGCCCCCACACCCATTCTTTGTTTCCAGGTTGGCGAGGCTGAGAGGAAGAAGAGGGTCCTATGAGAAGTCTTTGTTTGGGGTCATGTTGGGGCTTTTTTCTTCTTTCCTTTTTTAAAAAATATACTCTGTATTTGATTTTTATGTTTACCGTGGTGTCTGTGAAGTTGTGTCTGCGGTTTGCTACTGTTCTGTATCCAGCGCCCTATGTGTTGGTCAGGATCCCAGCAGGAAGCAAATCCTGTGTTCTAGAAGGGCAGCTGAAGAGGACTGGAGGCGGGGACTGGATGGCGTGTGGTCAGGGTGAAGGGACATGGCTACGCTCGTGGCAACAGTGGGAAACTGGTCTCGGCCATGGGCCCAGGAGAGGGCGTGCGCCTTGAAGCCCGGAGGTGAGGGCGCGGGCAGGCGGGGGGCTGCCTCCTTCTCCTGCTCAGGCCTCCGACTTGGCCTTGGGAACCCATGCTGGGAACAGAGGCCTGGATGGTGTGGTTTACAAGGCCACAGTGCAGGGCAGGAGGGGTGGAGAGTGAGTCTTGAGGGCAAACAGAATACCCACTGTGCTCCGCCCAACAGACAGGAACCCGAGGCAGAGGGAAAGTCCGAGTCCCTTGGACCGGTTTTCCAGCTGGCTGGTCATCAGATGCCATTGTTCTCTCTCATCTTCTTCCATCTTCCTCCTGACTGTGGGCACCACTGAGCCAGCTCTGTGACCGTAGGCGCCAGAGGGTCAGCCAAGGGAGATGAAATCATGAACCGCAGTGTGTGATTGATTTTGACCAGGGTCAGGTCTTGCCGCTAGCTGGGGGCTGCTACGCATCCTTCTACCCTTCCTTTGCAGAGAGGCAGCCTGACCCCGTGTGCACTGGAGAGCACTGGGCTTTCTGTGCAGAGCCGGACCTTCCGTCCTTCGGGCCCACGCCGGGGTGAGGGGCATCTGCCTCTGGCCTCCAGCATCAGCACATATGCTCCATTCCTGCCCTGCTTCTCTTCTCAGCGATGCGTCTGCCCCCTAGAAAGACTTCCTGTTCTGCTCCTTGACTAAAGACTCTAGAAGTTCTTTCTTTTGTAAAAACTTTTATTTAAATCCCGGTTAGTTAACATCTAGTGTAATAATGGTTTCAGGAGTAGATTTGGTGATTCATCCCTTACATGTAACACCCAGTGCGCATCCCTACAAGTGCCCTCCCTAGTGCCCATCCCCCATCTAGTCCATGCCCCCACCTCCCCCCCAGCAGCCCTCGGTTTGTTCCCTGTATTTAAGAGTCTTTTATGGTTTGTCTCCCTCTCTGTTTTTATCTTATTTTTCCTTCTATCTCCCTATGTCCATCTGTCTGTTTCTTAAATTCCACATATGAGTGAAATCATATGGTTATTTGTCTTTCTCTTTATTGACTTATTTCACTTAGCATAATACCCTCTACGTCCATCCACGTTGCTGCAAATGGCCAGATTTCATTTGTTTTGATTGCCAAGTAATATTCCATCATTACGTCTACCGCATCTTTTTCTTTTTTATGTTTATTCATTTTTGAGACAGAGAGAGAGAGAGAGAGAGAGAGAGAGAGAGAGAGAGAGAGCATGAGTGGGGGAGGGGCAGAAAGAGAGGGAGACACAGAATCCAAAGCAGGCTCCAGGCTCTGAGCTGATAGCACAGAGCCCGATGCGGGGCTCGAACTTACAGACCGCAAGATCATGATCTGAGCCAAGTCGGATGCTTAACTGACTTAGCCACTCAGGTGCCCCTACCACATCTTCTTTATCCGTTCATCAGTCGAAGGACATCTGGGCTCTTTCCATACTTTGGCTGTTGTTGATAACACTGCTCTAAGGATTGGGGTGAGTGCCTGTGTCCCTTTGAATCAGCATTTTTTTACCCTTTGGGTAAACCTAGTAGTGTAATTGCTGGGTCATAGGGTAGTTTTGGAGGGACATCCATCCTGTTTTCCAGAGTGGCTGCACCAGTTTGCACTCCCACAAGCAGTGCAAGAGAGATCCTTTCTCTGCACCCTCGCCAACATCTGTTGTCGCCTGAGTTGTTGATGTTATCCATTCTGACAGGTGTGAGGTGGCATCTCACTGTGGTTTTTATTTGTATTTCCCCGATGATGAGTGACGTTGAGCATCTTTTCATGTGCCGTTAGCCATCAGGAGGTTTGAAGAAGCTAGGAATTGTAAAGGTTTCCTGGTTCTCCAGCTTTTCTGCTCGATGAAAGGTCCCCCCTTGGGCTCTGGAGCCATCGTCAGGGTAGAACGTGACAGAACAGTGAGTTTGGTTGAGTTCCCACCTGCCACCCCAGAGCCTCGAGGCCCCTCTGACGGGTCTACACTCTGCCTGCTGAGGGCAGTTGGAAGAGTTCTCTGGCATGTGGGGGTGGAAATGCTTGTGGCTCCCAGGCGTCACCCTGCACTCTGCTCCCACACATGCCCCCAGCCCTGCCTTCCATGGAGCCTTTCCCTTCCATCAAGCGTGACCCTCTCGGATGAGTTGGAGCTTTTGCAGAGCCTTCAGAAATCTGACGGTTCTCAGTCTAACAGCCACCCATGCGGCCACGTGTCACGCGCACGCGGCCACACAGGGCTGTGCACACAAGTGCAAAACAGAGAGATGCTTCATTTCCTCAGAACCAGGGAGGGGTTCCATAGAATATTTTCAGGGAGGGAGTATACAAGTAACAAGTGGTTGCTTTGTCTTTCCACTCCCATAACCTCCCGCCGCACCCCGAAATGAGCTTGTCATCCACAGAAGGGGACTCGGGAAATACGTTTGGGGAGCAGAGAGATGCTGGCCAATGGGGAGCGTGGAGGAGGGAGACGCGGTTTTCCCTGGGTAGTTTTCACGCAGAGTTTGCATGGGCAAGGCACGTGATGAAATATAAATGCGTCCTGATTTTATGAAAATGCACATGGACTAGAGGTACGCTGGCTTTCTGAAGAGGAGGAAGAGAGGGCTGTTTTACGGACTGTGGCTTTGGTGGGGGTGAATAGGACACGTGTCTTCAGCAGAGCTGATTGAGCAGGGAATACGCAGCCAGCAGAAAGGCCTTCTTTCTGCCGTCTTTCCCCTTCCCCCTCTGTTCCATTTCCCCCACTCTGTGTGTGTGTGTGTGTGTGTGTGTGTGTGTGTGTGTGTGTGTCTTGTCCGTTTTGCTCCCATGGTTCCAAATGGGGCTTTGAATGTTTTATGAGCCCACAGAGTCGGCAAGGTATGAGGGCCTGTGGCCTGCAGCCTCTTCAGCCCTCCCGTTCATAAGCGTAAGACAGAGGGGAGGCCAAGTTTAATGTCCACATGCTTTCAACAGCAGGTAAACTGAAGGGGGCCAGACTGAATGCTACAAGTGTGCTGTTGTTTTTAATGGAGTTCAAGGTAGCCTTGACGGACAGGTGAGAAGGTACTGTCCAAATCACAGTTGCTGAGTACTGTCCTCCAGTCTGCCCTCGTCAACCTGCGTTCTGACATCGCTAGAAACCTGTTGGAAATGCAGAAACTCTGGCCCTGCCCCACGCCTACTAAAAATCAGAATTCACCTGTTAGTAAGATCCCTGGTGACTAGTCTGTCCATTAAAGTTCCAAAAGCACTGATGGGGAGCGAGATGGTACACTTTTGCTGTCAGTGGCCGGACAGTTGGTACGTGACCACTTCATGGTCTTCATGAGCCACGTGGTCCCCGAGGCACTTGTCAGTTTTGCCATCGTAGGCCAGGAGCAGCCGCTGACAATATGTAAGTGAATGCGCGTGGCAGGTCCCAATAAAACTTTATTTACAACAGGTGGTGGGCAGACTCCAGCACCGTTTACTGGCCCCTCGTCTAGGGCATTAGGGTTCTTGAAATCCTCCTGCTTCCCGCATTCTTCGTTTCGATGAAATCCAGACACACACATGCCAGTTCATACTTGAGCTTGAAATAGGACTTGCGGGAGAGGGGTGGCAGTTTCCTAAATTTACCCAAAAGTCTCCTCGGAAAACCTTTAGCTTTTAGAGACATAAAACTTTGACCCCTCCATTTAGCCTGTTTATTTATTATGCTATTTCTTTTTACTTTATAGCCTTGTCATGGAAAACATCTTAATACCATGTTATAAAGAAACAAATAGGTGAAATAAGTTTAAAAATTGCTTCAGGAATCCAGAGTCTGGAAGGACATGATGATGCAGAGGAAAACCAGAGGCTGGGTGGTGGCCACAAGGTCACAGGCCCCGGGTTCGTGTCAGGGGCTGATTTTAGAGAGAGATTGCTCGGCCCGGGATACAAAGAGGTTGTGGGCCAATGTGAGGGCCGTCTGGAATACCTACAGAAATAGTATATGCTTTTCTTTGTTTCTCACAGGGACAGAAGGCAGATCAATAGGCTCAGGTTAAATGTAGGTAAATTTTGAGTCCGTGAGGGAAAGAACTTTTGAGCAGCTGGGGTTGCCCATCAGTGGAAAGGTCTTTCCTGACAGGTGGCCATGTCCAGTGAGAGCGTGCCCTGGGAACCTTCAGCCCCTAATAATAATAATAATAATAATAATCAATAATAATAATCTGAATAATCTTATTATTGTAATAAGATGATTATAAGTATATTTAAAATGTATATACTGTATAAATGTATAAAAATGTGTGTTTTATAAATACATAAAAATTAAGTTACTTTTTAAATTTCCATTTACTAAATACCTACCATATGTCAGCGCCTGTACTAAGTGCCTTGCCTATGGCTCCTTACTTAGTCCTCCCCAAAATGCTGGCGTAAATATTGATACTACCCTTTTATAGATGAGGAGAGCCAGGATCAGAGGGGAAATGTGGCTTAGCCAAGGTCGCACAGCTGGTCAAAGGCAGAGACTAGAATCGAGGCCACAGCTGATGACCCCCTGTGCGCGCTGCCTCCCGAGAGCTGAGCCTCTCTGCTCTCTCTCTCTCATCCCTGGCAGGTGCTACATGAACCCCTGATTGACGAGGACCCTGTGTTCATCGCCACGTGCACAGAGCGGGAACTGCGAAAGAGGAAAAAGCGGAAATTCAGCCTCTGGGTCAGGCAGTGTTCTTCCACCGGCTTCATCATCCAGGTGAGCACTGGGATGGGCCCAGGAGGCCAAGGGGAGACCATCCACGCGGTGACTGATGAGCAGCCGGCACCGCCCTGCATGCTTCTCCTGTCCCGTCCGGCCCTTCTGGTTAAGTAGCAGCAGGAAACGCTGATCGAGGCTCAGGCCCCGACAGTGTTGGCCAGAGACTTTACCAGAAGAGTGGGGCCCAAGAGGTGACTGCTGTCTTTCTTGAGAACCCACTGTGCGGTGGTCCCGGAAGCCCCCTCCCACCCCCGACCGGCCAGCTGTCTGTCCTAAGCCCCATATTGAGGAAGTCCTTCTTCGCAAGCCATCAAGAGCCAGCTGCTTAAGTGAGCATTTGTCAGGAGCGCGGGCGGCCCCTGGCATTGCCACCTGCTCGCTGGCTCTGCTGTGGTCCAAGCGGGTGCTGACACGTGTCTCCGAAGCAGTGGCTGAGCTTTGCTACCGGGAGGGTATGAGGTGTTCAGCCGCTGGGATCGGCCAGGGTGCGGAGGGCACAAATGGAGAAGGTGGGGGCCGGCGAACACAGAATGTGGCCCCCGAGGGACAGATCCTGATCCCGCCTGATTTTTCCCGCCGTGCTGCTCAGGCTACCTTCTCCCAGCTGTCAGGCCTGCCGGCCCTGCGGTCGGTCACAGCTGACCCCACCTCGCTGCCCCTGCCTGGCTGCAGCCCCAGGCCCCAGGCGCAGGGGATTTGCCCTCCCTTCTTTCCCTGAGCCAGAGGAGGATTCATGGGAAGATTCAGTGGAGCATCCCTTTGCCCCAGCAGGGAAGGTGCACGTGCTCTGGGCAAACGTGACTGCTCAGAGGGACCATCCCATTCTCCCCGGGGGCTTGGGGGACCCTCCGCTCAGCCTGGGGCCGGGATCTCCAGCTCGACCCCAGACTTGCGTCAGCTTGAGCACAGGCTTCAGGCAGTTGCTAGGATGGACCTGCCCCAGAGCAGGATTTACTCTGGATGGGCCCTCTGTCCCCACACAGCCCCCGGTGGCCCCTGCCACCTTAGTATGTCCTTTGCAGTGAAGCTCACTGGGGACGGGAGGGGGTTCACTTTATGTAATGCCTCGTAGGGAACACTCAGTCCTTTGAATAAATGCTTCCCGAGTAGCCTGTTTGCTGGCGTGCCCGGCCCTGGGATGTGGGGGCATGGTCCTGCCTTCTCAGAGATCTGACGCGTTCAGCACTGTGTCCCCCAGCTCGTCTCACGCCCCCTGGGCAGGTTGGCCGCAGTGACCAGCTGCCCCAGTTAACAGACAGCAGAGTGACCAGGGCGGTGGACGTGCTGCATGATCCTCGGCCCCACTGCCGTCTGTCTGCGTTCCATGCCGAAGTGACACTTTCTGGCACTTGTACGGTTCCCAGGACAGGCTGTCATCAGGCAGCTCTGCAGGGTGCCAGGTGCCTGGAGTGCCCGCCCCGCCTCACTTCCTTCCTGACTCCAGCCTTTCTGCTCTTGCCCCCTGACCTCATCGGGGCTCATAGGTTGTGATGATTAATTTCACGTGTCTGTTTGGCTGGGCCACAGTACCCAGATACTTGGCCAAACACTATTCTTGATGTTTCTGCGAAGGTGTGTTTTGGATGAGATTAACGAATCCATAGACTCTGAGTAAAGCAGACGACACTCTTTAGGGGGTGGGCCTCATCTAATCAGTCAAAGACCTTAATGGGGAGGGGGGGGAAACCTGACCTACAGTAAAAACGAGGAAAATCTGCCAGAAAACTGCCTTTAGATTTGACCTACACGTTTTTCCTGGGTCTCTGGCTCACTGGCCTGCTCTACTGGACTTACTGAGCCTCTATAATCATGTGAGCCAATTCTTAAAATAAATATCCATCTCTCTCACCAGAGAGAAGGGACACACACACACACACACACACACACACACACTCACTCTCTCTCTCTCTCTCTCTCTCTCTCTCCCCCCCCCCCCCTACTGGTTCTGCTGCAGAGGGCTTTCCTGCAGTCCACCTGGCGTAGAGGTCAATGTTCTAGTCGGAGAGACGGGCATATTAAAACCATTCATAAATACAGTGTGACAGGTGCAGTGTTAGAAACATGTGTACAATTTCTATACGGGGCTATAGCAGGGCACCTGGGAGCTAAGGAAGGCTCCCTGAGGCAGACGGGACAGGGCATGTGGTATGCCCGGCAGAAGGCATCCGTGGTGGCAGCGGGCAGAAGGGCCAATGTCACCCACCACAGGCCCGGCGCTGAGGCGCACCCGCTGAGCCTGATGCAGCACACCAAGCAGTACACGGACCGGGACACATGGGAAAACGCGAGCTCCCAGGCAGCAAGTCGTTTACCCCAGGACTCCAGGCTGGGACGCGGCAGAGCGGGAACCGCAGCCACAGGGCTGGCGAGCCCCCATGCTGCGGTCTGTCGGGATCCCACGTCCTACCCCCCCCCCCCCCAGGGCGCTCTGAGCCAGGGAGGAAGAGAGAGCAGCCTAGCTCGGGGCGCTCTCTTCCCTCACACAGTGGGTGTCTCAATGGAAAGTATTCCCGTGACTCCCCTTGTTTCGAGTACCCGTTTCGGGAGAACCAGACGTGTTCATCCCTGCGGTGGAAACCCTTGAGGCTAACGGAGGCCCGTCTTCTCCCTCGTGAGCCCGCACCCTGGCGCCTACTCCCAGCAGCCTCGTGGAGGGTGTGGAGGCCTTTTGACTACAGGTTTCAATAGCAGTCGAAGGAGCAGGCAGGGGATCGTTTATAAAGCGAGGCCCTGAAAATCCTGACACATAGTTGCTCCTTGGGTTGCAGACCCTTTTTAAGAAAAAAAATTTTTTAATGTTTAATTATATTAGGGAGGGAGAGAGGGAGACACAGAAGGCTCCAGGCTCTGGGCTGTCAGCACAGAGCCCGACGCAGGGCTTGAACCCATGAACTGTGAGATCATGACCTGAGCCGAAGTCAGCCACTGAACCGACTGAGCCACCCAGGCACCCCTGGTTGCAGACACTTTGTACCACATGCGACCACAGCGAATGCCTTCTTTTTTGGCACAACCACCGCCATCTCCAGATTCGAGGGCTGTGGTGCGCTCAAGGGCGTGTACTCTGTGTCCTGTGTCACAGGCCGGCCAAGAACTGTCCCCAGCCCTAGCACACCCTCTAGCCGAGGCCGTTGGCAGAGGGTCTCTAAGAAACGGCGCCAGCCAAGGAGACAGGCTCCACTTACCCCTCTGTATGCACCCTCCCTGTGAGCGGGGGAGACCGAAGAGATTTGTACACAAGATGAGGCTTCCAGTTTCAGGGGGAAGTCCTGTCAGTGAGAGGCTGGAATTCTTTAGTCTGGGACGTCAGGTTAGCTCCTCTTGGAAGGCGTGTGGCCTTTCTGTGGGGTCAGAAGGAGACTGTCCCTGCACAGTGTTGTTCTGTCTGTCCTCTGTCAGAAGAATCGAGAATCCAGTGGGGAAAAGTTGGCCAACGCTTTAGTTAATGTTATATTGAGCCATGGGATTCTTTGAGAAAAATGAGGGTCTACTAATTAAAAACAAAAGAACTGGGGTGGTCAAAACAAGCAGATTTCTACTATTTGAATGTGTCGATCTAGCCACCTGCCTCTGCGGTGTGAGACCGGATTCCCCGTGATGGGTGGTGGCGGGCAGGAGAGCCCCAAGAAGGGGGTGGCAGGGCACCAAATGCCTGCCGAGTGCACCGTGCTTGATCTCTAAGGGGCCTAGGGACGCTCTGCCCGGAAAGGAGTGGCCGGACAGTCCCCAGAGAGTTAGTGGCTGCCATGTTGAGCAGGGACAGAGCCATTGTAAATGGAAAGCCGTGCTCTCCTGCTCAGTGAACGATAACATTGACTGGAGGTGGGTGGGCTTTGGAAGCCAGAATTCAAGATGGAACTTCCCCAACGAGAGGACCCCCACTTCCCACCCCCATATGTCGTTAAATGTGTCCAGGCAGAGCCCAGATGCACATCGACGAGGGGTGCTCGGAATGAGGTCCTGCACCACGTAGTGCTGAGCAGCTGCTCTGAAAGTGGCTCTCCTCCCTTCAAGCCCAATCTGTGGATTCATGACGGCCCCTCAGGGCTCAGGCTCTACGCTCAGGCCCTTGACCAGCATTGCTCACATTCTCTTCACCACAACTGTATGACGTAGGCAGTGTTCCCGCCTGTTCCACGGTGAGGAACTGAGGCACAGGGGCTAAGCTACCTTGCCCAAGGGTCAGCCATAAAGCGCTAGACCTGGGATGAAACGCAGCCTTTCCTGCCCCAGACCCCACCCTCTTACCCACCAGGCTGCCCGAGGGAATTTTCCTCGCGTTAGACAAAACCACGTCTCTCTCTCATATCCAACTTGCTTGTTGTTCGATGGATGGTTTTAGCATCAGCTGTTACCGCATCTCCCTTATTTTTGAGACTTACTTTTTACATTGAAAGGAATTGAAGAACTTGTACCGCAGTGGTTTCTCTTCTTATTTGAGTTTTAGTCTTGGAACAGGATTAGCTCAAAATGCAAGGATCAGAGTGGGATTAATTAACTAGAGTGGCTTTTGCTTCTGGAGTCAAAAACTGGGCAGCACAGGGCCCTTGTCCATCTGTTTCCTTGTGCCTGCTGGGGACGCGCTCTTCCAGCCTGGCCACCTTGGATGTGCTTGTGTCACAGGATGGAATTGGCTGGGGTGCAGGACATCTGTCACTTCGTCTCTTGAGTGTCCTTGAGCAAGGAGCTGAGAATTCCTTTATCCATCCGTCTTTTGGAGTGGGGTTACTTTGCCCAGCCCTCCTTACTGTGGAGGGGCTCAGAGGTGATGGTAAAGTATCAAGTGCCCATATACATGCGTCAGGCACCAACTGGACCCGACTGAACCCCGGCCTTCCCTGTGAGGGGCTTAGACTCTACAACCGCACAGATGTGAATGGATGCAGACCCGCAGAATGCTGGCCCCCATCCCCACTCCAAGCCTCACCAGGATTAGCGCTTCAGGAAGAGACAAAAGCGAGTTTCTTGTGAGGGTCAGTCATGCCAAAAGCGCAGTT